GGATTCTCAGAAGTGCCGTAAGTCCCCATTGCCCCTAGCATGGTGACCTTACCTTTCTTGCACTCACTCACTCACTCACTCAAAATGGCTTCGGAATGTGGATAGAACAATGACATGTTCTTACTGGCCTCATGTTTTGCTCTGAGTGAGAATCAGTTTGAGACAGCCTCCCACTGGTTTGTCTGGGCTCCCAGTGGATTTCAATTATATTTTGTACTCTAATGTAATAATGTCAAATTTCTACAAGACTAATAATATCACTCAGTGAATTGGGAAATATCAAATTAAACAGAAATCAATTCAAACATTTTTCTGTTTCATAAATACGAAAGTGATAATTTTCATTCTTGTTTCCGTCTTCTGAAATTCAAATAACCTACATTGGAGGAAGTTGATGCTATTACCGTCACTTCCTCTGACAATCTAAGTGATATGTGTAGAAATGAAACACTTCAGTTATGCATTTAACTGTCATGTATAAATGTCTTGTATGAGAAGAAGCTGACACCTTGTCAGTATAACAGTCACTAGTCCCACCATCTTGCAAGTCTATAACAGCATCACTGACGGAGGTTTGATACGGTATAACGTAAATATCCCACCTCTCATGTGGAAGTAATCTCAGCAAGATGGTGATGGTCTGTCTAAAATGTTCCAGCAGCAGAAAAAGCTAGCGACTGTGAGACAAAGGAATTTAATATACAAGAGGACAACCACACTCAATGAAAGTCACACTGTTATACATGCCCCCAGTCAATAACCCAGTTATTTCCCTAGGACGGTTTACATAACAAGCGGAACCATCCGAGGTGATTGCCATTTTAATTTCTGCGGCCTTCCTGTCAGAGTTGTCTGTTAGTTCCATCTCAGATACATTTTCCTGAGATGAGAAGGAAAAAACTTGCTTAATTTTCTCGATGCCAATAAAAACAAGTGTGGGATATTGGTTTGGCAGACGGTAGTTGGACCAATTATGAAGTCGGGCTTCGGCTTTTGAGACGGAGGTAGGGAACGGGGGATGTAGTGATGTACCAGCGTTACATCAAACTCAATGGACTGTTAAATGTATTCTAGATGTATTTACGCGAATAGTTCATTTCTTTGCATGCTCTGTTCCTTTTTTTGTGTGTCCTATTACCATTTTCTTGAAACAAATGAATCATAAACAGTTCATGATTGTTACTGGTTAAACTTTTGGTAACAGGCACCAAATGTTTGGCCCCAAAAGTTTTCAACCTTGCCCTATCATTTTGTTCCTTTTTCTGTTTTTAGGGTATACATGTTTTTCAAGGGAATGTTTCTTTCAAATAATGTCATTTTGTAGATTTGGATGTAAAAAATGTCAAGTATACAAACAGAATCAAAGAACTGCCGACATTGAAGAATGGAAATCATTTTATCTAGTTACTTTGTCAACAACAATTCACAGCTGTTGCATTTGTTTTGTATCAAGTTTACTTTAGTTGTTTTCAGCACAATTTACAATTATTCTAAAGCTTTTGAAGTAAATATTAGACAAACAAGTTCTATCTGTCTTTGATAGTCAGACATGACTCATAACGTCTAAATAATTGATCACCTCAGTGCCTGCTTTTTTTTAGCAATCATAAAAAAAAATTGGAAGTCTTGTGTAAGATTGACAGTAATTCCAGTTGAAAGAGTGATGGTGTTTGGGTCTTAAGCGTGACCATATATTTATCTGACCTTAAACTTGTATATCCATAAGGATTACAGTCACAGCAAAAAAGAAAGTTTTTTGACTGTTTAAACTTTTGAAGGTCGCTGTTTTTGGGTTTGAGTGAAGCCTGCTGTATTTGTACAAGACTTGCCTCCCAGGGGCTTGTAGACTTAACATCAATGTCATGCCAGCAGGTTTTGCATTAATGGAGTCTGAGATTGGAGCTACAAGTCATGTTTTGTGTCTCATTTGTCATGTTGTTATGTTCCTGTTGGTATAGGTTCTTAGGTCCTTTGTCATTAGTCGCCTAATACTTATATCATACTCCATACAAAGGTCAGTATTCCAACACCCTCTGCAGGGGATCTCTAGCTCAGTATGTATGTAATATTATAAGATTATGACTGCTTAAGAACATGGGATCACTGAAGTTGGCCTGAATTATGACAAATTGAAAAATGAACTGATCCATCAAAACTTCTTAGATCATATATTTTGCAATCATTGTTTATGTGTTTTTTTGGGGTGGTGGAGTAGCCTAGTGGTTAAGGCGTTTGCTCGTCACGCCAAAGACCCGGGTCTGATTCCCCACATGGGTACAATGTGTGAAGCCCATTTATGGTGTCTCCCACCGTGATATTGCTGGAATATTGCCAAAAGCGACATAAAACTAAGCTTTCTTATTATGTGTTTTTGTAGACAACACTGATTGGTTAAACATGACCTTTGCATGTTACTGGTAAACATTGTCATGTGCACATTTCAGAATAATTATTTTTCTTATCCTTATTTGCGGATACCCTGATACAAAATGGACATTGTTTTATTGGATAGAAATACAATATTATTTTCTTGTGCAAAATACCTTTACATTTCGAGCAGACAATCACACAAGAAATTATGTAGCACTTGCTTTGTGACACTAAATGATAATGTTCATTATGATGTTCATATGTGACTTGATGTCACTTATTTCAAGATGAGTACATCAATGATCATTGGCACCTTCGGTGATGTCATTTTCAAATGTATTTTCTATTTGACACTAAATGATAATGTTCATTATGATGTTCATATGTGACTTGATGTCACTTATTTCAAGATGAGTACATCAATGATCATTGGCACCTTCGGTGATGTCATTTTCAAATGTATTTTCTATTTGACACTAAATGATAATGTTCATTATGATGTTCATATGTGACTTGATGTCACTTATTTCAAGATGAGTACATCAATGATCATTGGCACCTTCGGTGATGTCATTTTCAAATGTATTTTCTATTTGACACTAAATGATAATGTTCATTATGATGTTCATATGTGACTTGATGTCACTTATTTCAAGATGAGTACATCAATGATCATTGGCACCTTCGGTGATGTCATTTTCAAGTGTATTGTCCATTTGACACTAAATGATAATGTTCATTATGATGTTCATATGTGACTTGATGTCACTTATTTCAAGATGAGTACATCAATGATCATTGGCACCTTCGGTGATGTCATTTTCAAATGTATTTTCTATTTGACACTAAATGATAATGTTCATTATGATGTTCATATGTGACTTGATGTCACTTATTTCAAGATGAGTACATCAATGATCATTGGGACCTTCGGTGATGTCATTTTCAAGTGTATTGTCCATTTCAGAAGGAGCCTTGGAACAATTTGAATTTAGTTTAAAGGTTTTATGTCGTTTTCTTGATATTCCGAATGGGTATGTTTTGCAAGGGATCCTTGCTTCTGTTCACACATATGTCCTGGAACTCCAAAGGTTGATGCCACTGTTTTAGCTACTCAGAGAGTTGCCGACAGAAATATGGGTGAAGTGACGAGGAAAAGAAATATTTATTGCCCACAGAAGAGTTCCCCTCACATTTGGTCTGCTGTAGACATTCTTGTAAACTTTCATAAATTTTCTGTTTGGTTGTGTATGATGTGTAGGCGTACTTCTCCTGAGAGTGTTTCAGTTAAAGGATCTTACCAGGCTTTCAGCATGGTATATTTTAATCCAATTTTGAAGCAAAGAAATCTTGTTAAAATCTCTAGTTGGATTCCCCCAAAGTATTGGTTTTTGCAATAGGATTTAGTGTTTTATGCGTCTGAGAGAAGGCTTTAATGCTATTAGCACTTTTAACCGAAAAACAGTGAGGAGATCTCAACAACATGTGATGAAACTTTCAATAATTCTTTTTGCGAGATACCAATATGTTCAGAGAAAGAAAAGCAAATGTTGTAAGTTGGGTTTTTTCATGTTAACATTTGGTTTGAGTAGGAATGTGGGAAGTTTCAGTGTTGCAACAACTAAAACTGAGAAAAAGTTTTCAAGAAAGTAGTAAGTAACAAAGGTAATGTTTTCCTGGAAACTTATGTAGAATTTGAACAAAACATGACCCTGAGTATTCTTTTGTTATTAACATGTTTTTCATTTGCCTTGCACCATGTGTGTTCAGTAGACCGTGAAGATGGTTTCTTTGAAGTGTACATGTAGACAAACACGCACAGACACCACACAATTAGGGAAGGAGCTGGAAGGGCCTTGGACATGATAAATGATATAACCCTTCACCTACTTGTGCGAAGAACAACTAAAACAGACGATTTCCCTTCACTTCTGACCTCGTGGCACACCTCAACATACCAAGTTTCATGCTTATCTGTCACACACCAATTTATTGTCTTGATATGTTAAAGGTTAGGGAAATAGTATTTGAACAATGGTGTAAGTTTTCATTTAGATGGTGTTCCATGTTAATGAGTGTGTGATCTGATCTGAGTCTTCAAAAGAGTGCTGTTGCCCTCTGTGTTACTCTTGGTCATAAAATAGATGGGAGATACTGCCTCATTATGTGAGGAACATGGTATACACATGAAAGTACTTGACCTTCACCTTGAGACGACTTATGTAACTTTGTCATGTCAGGTTGGATTTCAGACTCTCAGTCCATGAAGCATTGGTTTTGTTTATTCATATATGTTTCAAGAAAAGCGACAACTGTGGAGATTGTTGCATATAAACTTGTTTATTTTTTAGGATTTACTAATCCTTTGTTGTACTAATAAGTAATGCATAATTAAAAGAAAAAGAGAAAATATTCTTGGGAAAAAAAACTTGTTCATTTTGAAAACAGTTTGAAAAATAGTAAAAGTGCATTTTATGAAAATACATGTTTAGGTAAGCATTATTAGTAATTATTGTTTGAAGTATCAAGTTAATTATTGAAATAGTTTTGGTAAACAGCATCTGACATTTTCAGTTTCAGATTGTTTGCTACTATCTGTGTAAAGACTAATTCTGTTGATCTTGTTGCAGGTTCTCCTCGTTTGACAGGATCAGGGACCATCAAGGTGTTGGTACAGGACGTCAATGACCATTCTCCAGCGTTTGACAACACGCAGTACACAGGACATGTCCTGGAGAACCTGTCCTCGCCTACCTCCGTACTCTCGGTCGAGCCACAGACCAGGACGAGGGGGAAAACGCAGAGATTGTGTAAGTGTTCCCATGGAGATATTTTAATTACTTTTAGTTCATTCAATCATCATTAAGGATCTGCCGTCATGGTAAAACTACATGCTCTCTGGCACCAGACTCAGGTTTTATAATTCTGTGAAAAAAACCAACCAGTTGTGAGATGAACTGTGGTGTGTTATTGATTTGGGAAAAAAAGTTTAGAAATTCTAGAAAGTAAGATACTTGCTGGCAGGCAGTTTTATCAAACAGAGACTCAAAGATGCATCTCTGCTTGTTTGTATTTATGGCTTATTTCATCATCTGTGGAAGGATCCATCAGACGAAGCTAAAGTATGTGATCAGGGACCTCCTACCTGTTCTTCATGTGGGCACAATTCCACAAATGATCTTGATCTATGGCTCTTCAATCTTTTAAACTTTTAAGAAAGATTTGTGATATAGTTGCAGCTCTTAAGAACACTTAACTGGGAATAGAAGTTTATAAAAAGTTGTTTTGTTGATGAAGAGGAATCTGAAGTTTGATGTTTGTCCAAATGAACTCTGAAAAATATGAATTGTACATCAATCATTCAAATAAAACAGCTGAGTCATATTCGTAGGTCTTCATGCCTTTTAGCCCAAGAACAAAAAATAATCATTGTTAAATTTTTTTAGTGAAACTTTGTAGCATGTATTCAGGTAACTAGTATGTTAATGTCCATCGGCCATTTTGCTAATGAGTCGTTGGTGCCAAAACAATGGTAAGTGATGACAAAGACATGATACACTACCAGTATTTTATCATTTATGGAATAGTGTTACCTCCCAGTTCATTTCGCTGTATCTTGCCTCTTGTGCTATTTTTTCACTGGGGACTATTTGCCTGACAACTGTTTCAGATAACAATGGCTTCAGTGTTTCAGGAAAATCGCTTGAATGTGAACATACAGAGATAATGATTGTTTGAAATATCTCACTTATTGTCCCTTTGTTTCTATTGCTGTGGTTGTTTGATGTGAATCTCTTTTAGGTCTGCATATCAAAATTAGATTATACAAAATTTACATCGTGCTGACTTTTTAAGCTTTGCTTTTATAAAGTGACATGTTTTCTGTTCTGAAACCAGCCTTTGAGATGGACTTTAGTGCTGATAAAAAGTCTGAAATTTGAATTCTTTGATGCTGGACAAATTGGCACTGTAAAAAAATATTTAGGATTATGAAACAAATTTCAGTTCACAAAGTAAATGGCAGTGTTTTGAACCTTTTGTTAGCTTTTTTTGTTTTTCATCTGTTTTGGATTTACATCAGTGGTTTTCACAACTCTGATCTATTGAAGATTCTGTTATAATGAAAATTGAATAACATTTTACATGTTGTCAGTGCCAGATGCTTGGAATGTGATCAAGCTAATGTAGTAAGCTCTAGATTAAAACTTTTGAACTTTACTTGTACATGTGACATAAACTGAGCTTCGAGAGTCAAGGAAGAGCTCTTGAGAGACAGCGCCACTGTACAGCACCATTGCAGTGCATGTACTGCAGTAGTTATCATACATTGATGTCCTTTGTGAGATGAGTGCTTTTTACACAGATCTGTTGCAGGATCTAACTTTTGGGTCTGATCTACAAAAAAATATTTGTAGCGCAATGTCATTTGTAAGCCTATGATAAACTATAGAGTTACGACAGATCGTAACGTTATGGACGCTTTGTGGATCGAGACCCAGGTTTCTATGCCTTGTCTGACAGAAAAATTATCATACTGTACTGGGTCCCGATCCACGAAACATTCGTAGCACTACGACATTCGTAAGTCTATGATAGACTATAAAGTTACCCCAGGTCGTATTGTTGTGGATGCTTTGTGGACTGAGACCCAGTACCTTACATAGAGCCATCTTGTAGAATGGTAATAGTGACATAATCAGTTTGTCTCTAGGGCTACTCTGTGTAAAAACATTATTGGAACTATCTGATGATCTACATATGAGAATGAATGCATTTATTCATACTAAAGAAAAGGTTATGATGATGTGAGGTTGTCTTGACCTGATTTTTTTAGGCCCTGCGGTTTGGATGAACTGAAATTGTGTTGACCTTAGTTTCTTTGGAACTGTTATTGTATCGACCCTAGGTTGTCATATTCCACTACAATGCCTTCAATGTACTCTACTTCCAGCTACAGCTTGGAGAACAGCATGGGGGAGAAGTTCACCATATACCCAGACACCGGTCAAATCGTTACCTTGGCAATACTGGACAGAGAGGAACGCAATGAGTATGAGCTAGTTGTCATTGCCTCAGACAGAGGCATCCCCCCTCAGTCGGCCACCACCAAGGTTGTGATCCACATAGACGATAACAACGACAATTCCCCCGAGTTTGAGCAGCAAAGCTACTCCCAGGTTGTTCTAAGTCCAACGGCCACAGGAGCATTTGTGCTTGGAAGTGACCGCCATAGATCGAGACATCGGCAGCAACGGCCAGGTCAGGTACTCCCTCTCGGGCGACGATGCCAGGAAGTTTACCATCAATGAGAACTCAGGTGTCATCACAGCAGGGCAGGAACTTGTGCAATCCGGATCACGGTACAACCTCATCGTCAGGGCTTCAGACCAGGTGAGTCAAATGCACAAACTGAACTTTTCAAAGTCATATCTACTTGTAAAAGCATTGTATCAGTTTTGACCGAGAGGGACAAGTGTCAAATTCTTTCAATCAGCTTTCGTGTGGAGTTACTGCAGTTTTAGGATGTATCCTGCAGTTATTCCTTACATTGTTTACACGATGTCTCCGATTCACACCTGACTCTGATTACATTGTCTAGACTGATACTGGAACTGGGCAGCAGTGTCTCCTCCCCAGGTTTCCTCTTTGCACAAGTGATGTAAACAGGTTAAATCAATGATGAAGATTGAAACTATGATGGCAGAAGGGATGAGATAAGATCAAGTTGTGACATGAGACACTTGCAGAAAATGGGTACCCAGTGGGATGTCATGTGTCTGGGAACCTTCTAGAGCCTCACAGCCAGCTTGGGTTATCCGGGGTAATGATAATCAGATAGTGTGTTGGCGCTTTGAGCATGTGCCTTTTACATGGAAAAGGCGCATTATAAATTCACAATTATTATTATCATCCTTACTGGTTTCATCATCATATGTTCACTTTTAAACAGTTTTATTATATTTCAGTTCAAAATAAATGTATAATTATTAAAGTTCCCTGAATTCCCTGATAGTGATGTTGTCCTGTATTTTTTCTACAGGGCAAGGTTCCAACTCCAACACTGTCACTGTTCGCGTGGACATGATCTCGTCCTCCGAATCTAAACCCATCTTCAGCCCATTTGATGTGAACCTGTCTGTAAAGGAAAACTCTCTCCCTGGTAAGATTCTCACCACCGTATCAGCCACTACGACCAGGACCAATCAGATCCTGTATTACATCGCCGGGGGCAACGTCAACCGAGGATTTGGAATCAACCAACTGAATGGTACCATTTCTGTGTTTGGAGTCATTGACTACGAAACTACCAGGAGCTTTGAGCTGTGGATTGAGGCCAATGATGGAGGCAACCCAGCTCTGTCAGAGTATAAGATGATGAGGGTGAGCGTAGAGGACGAGAACGACAATGCTCCTCGGTTCCAACAGAGTCACTACAACACCAGCATTCTGGAGAATGTTCCGAAGGGTCGTACATTGATACAGCTTTCGGCCACTGACCTTGACTCCAATCAAAATGGCCAGATCACATACTCCATCCACAGTGGTAATACCAATAAAACCTTCCAAATTGATGCTCAGTCTGGCCTCATCTCCACCTTCAACATCGTGGACAGGGAAGGCATCAGCCTCTTCCATCTCATTGTAAAGGCTGAAGACCAGGTAAGGAAACAGAAATGTATACTTTTTTTTATAAGTATAATGTGACAATATGGCTGAAATACTGCTGATGTGACTTAAAATTGTAACTAATCATATAATGAAGGGTGCCATTCTGTTTTACATATACACTGTATGTTTTGTTTTTCACCAGGTAAGGAATCAGAAATGTTCTTGTATTTTACTTTTGATAGGTATAATGAGATATATAATTCTGTTGAAATATACACTGTACATTTTGTTTTCATGGCATCAAAAATATCCTTATCAAAGTTGAGTAATATATGTTACATTAATGCCACTGGATCTGACCTTTTTAAGGTTACAGGGACAATCGTATATCTGTGTTAACTAGTTTTCAAGATAGTAGGATTGTGATAAATGTTGCAGCAGGATGTAGATGTAAGTTTAAGGAGATAATGTTCTGACAGAATTATGATCAACTCCAGTGATGTAAATTGATTTAATGGAAAACTTATCATGAAGATCTCTGAGTCAAGTCCATTTGAATTTTGTATAGAGAAACATGTTTTCTGATGCTTCTCTTTGGCTTAAAGCCAAAATCTAGCTTTTAAATCCTTCAAAATACCTTGCTGTTAACCTGTAGATTTGTATTACTGATGCAGATTATTGCTGAAGATTTAACTTACAACTTTGATGGTTTTTAGGGTACCCCAAAACTGACCTCTACTGCAACAGTGACAATCCACATCCTTGATGAAAATGACAACCCACCCAAGTTTACAAGGCGATACAGTCTGTCAGTGCCGGAGAATGTCCCTCTCAACAGCTTCATCGTACAGATGAAAACGTCCGACAAGGACATCGGTGACAATGCCAAGTCAACCTTTAAGCTGCAGAATGATCATGACAAGCTTAGCTTTGCTATTGACAGCATCAGCGGCAACATCTCCACCGTGGCACTGTTGGATGCAGAGAAAGAAGACAGATACTACCCCAGTGTTGTTGCTGTGGATACTAACTTCAGAGTATCAACTCAGGTCTTCATCAAGGTCCAAGATGTCAATGACAATGCTCCTGTGTTCATAGAAGACACTCTCAGCTTTGACTTCCAGGAAAACCAGTCAGCCAATGCAGTGGTTGGAAGGTTAAGGGCAATGGATGCGGACTTGGAACAACCCAACAATCAGTACATCTTCTCACTGAAACGCCCCTCAGATATCTTTGAAATAAATGCTGAAACTGGAGACATTACTGCCTTACAAACACTCTACTACCGTCACGTGCCAGACCATCCCCTGTCCATCAACAGATACACCCTAGATGTTGTGGTGACAGATCTTGGAACACCCTCCTTGTCCTCCGAGAACATGGTGATCATCACCGTCATTGATGCCAATAACCATCCTCCTCAGTTTGTACAGAGCAGCTACTTCTCAGCCGTGCCAGAAAACAGAGCAATTGGGGACCATGTCATCTCTATACTGGCTGTGGATGAACATGACTATGGAATCAATGCAGAAGTGTTCTATTCGGTTTCAGGAGGAAACGGTTCTCAGTTCTTCCAGATTGATCAAGATACTGGCTTCATTACCGTGAAAGCTTCTCTTCAGGGCCGACAGAATGCTGATTACCTCCTGTTTGTGAAAGCCCAGGACAAAGGTACACCTCCCCAGTCCACTACAGTAGACGTTCACTTCAAGATCACCGATGTCAACAACTTTGCTCCAGAGTTTGCAACTCAGATCTTCCAGAAAACCATCGCTGAAGACACTCCTATCGGGCAGACCATACAGACTTTCTCAGCAACAGATAATGATCCTGGCATCAATGGCCAAGTCATGTATCTTATCTCCTCTGGGAACAAAGATGGTCTATTTCACATGGGGAAAGAAAGCGGTGCACTCATTATTGCCAAGGCTCTTGACTTTGACACCCATCCAACTCATCTTCTGACTATCAGTGCCAGAGACAAGGCTCTTGTGTATAAGGAGATCAACAGGACATTCACTCTCCATCTCACTGATGTAAATGACAACCCGCCTGTGTTTAACCAGACCTACTATGATGCCTACATCCCCGAGAACTCGGCCCCTTCCACATCCTTCTACACGGTCCATGCTACAGATGCAGACAGTGGGGACAATGCCATCATCCACTATTCAATAGTCGGGAACTCCATTTTCACCATTGAGAAGGAGACAGGAATAATGAGATCCCAGGGTAGTCTGGATTATGAGGTGAAGGACGCTTACTCCGTGACGATCATGGCCTACAACCCAAGCGAATTAAATGGGGGATCGGATATGAAGAAGACTGTTGTCACCGTTCATGTCCATGTGGTTGGTGTCAACGAATACTTCCCTCAGTTTGAGAAATCACGCTACAACTTCAGAGTCAGTGAATCTGCAACAATCAACTCATCCATTGGGTCAGTCATGGCAACAGATCAAGACAAGGGTATCTGATGGCATAGTATATTATTTCCTCATTGGCTCCAGCAACCTTAGAGGATTTCGCATCGACCATCAGACTGGAGTTATTCATGTTGCCGGGCGACCAGACTACGAGTCCTCGCAAGAGATAATTCTGAATGTAATGGCCAAGAACTGGGGTAGTATCCAAGGTAACGACACTGATACGTGCCAGGTGTATGTCACCATAGAAGATGCTAACGATCCTCCAGTATTCAGTAGGAACAAATACGATGCTACAATCAATGAAAATTCTCCCCAGGAAACGTATGTTATCAAGGTTGAAGCCACAGACAATGACTATAAGCCAGAGAACAGAAACTTTGAGTACACCATTCTCAAAGGAAATGATGGAAACCGATTCAAGATTAACCGCGTCAATGGAGAGATTCGGACAACTGGACAGGGTTATCTGGACCGAGAGACTCAGGATCAGTTTAACATCACTGTTGGAGCTGTGGACTCCGGCCTGCCTCCTCAAACAGGTAATACTGATTTGATGATAAACATCTTTAACACTGGTCCGTCACCTGAGTAGCAGTGATAATTTGTAATCTCTTTATAGTTTTGATAATTGTATTGATATTGAAGCATAATTGTTTTATCCTTTTGCTTTTTGTACTGTTGCAGGTTCTGCTGTGGTACAGATAAGATTACAAGACATGAATGACAATGGTCCATACTTTGACCCCACCGTGCCTGAAGGTCACATTCTGGAGAACCGAGGTGCTGGAGAGTTTGTGATGTCGTTGCCTCAGTTCACAAAGGACCTTGATCTGCCTCCTAACCAGGCTCCTTATAGGTACAGGATGTTATCATCTTCAGACAAATTCAGAATTGACTCACAGACAGGGCGAGTGGAGACTATTGCCACTCTGGACCGAGAACTGACCCCTGAGTTCACAGCTCCCAGTTATGGTCACTGATGGTGGCATGCCTACCATGACATCAACCTTGACCTTCAAAATTGTTGTCAGTGATGTAAATGATAACCCTCCAAGGCCAAGGCCACTGGTCATCCAACTGATGATTCTCCAGGGTATGTCATCTATCGGCTTGGTTGCGGATGTCAAACCACTGGATGATGATGTAGTTGGCAACTACAGCTGCAACATTGAAAGTGGGGATACCAACACATTCAACATCTACCAGAACTGTGATCTTCGAGTGATTGGCTCAGTTGATCCAAAGACTTACAACCTACGCATCCAAGGTTCTGATGGAATGCCAAGTCATCCAGCATCTCAACCCTATGACGTGTCAGTTACAGTCAGTGAGTACAAGAATGCCACTGTGGACAACTCCGTACCAATGCTTGTGGCTGATCTGTCAGCAAAATCCTTCCTTGAGTACAAATACGCTCGGTTTGTGAATGCCTTGAAGAATGCCTTTACTCCACAGAACTCATTCATAGTGTACAGTTTGAAGGAGATGGACACAGACCTCATCATCTTCTTGTCAGTTCAGAAGCAGAATGGTGACTATATCCCGAAATCTTCCATTCAGCAGACATTGCAGAGAAACAAGCAGGCGATAGAATCCACTGCAAGCATCTCAATCAGGAGCATATTCTTCAGTGCCTGTCAAAACCACCAGTGCCAAAATGGCGGCACATGTGACAATGAGATTGTCATGCATCCTGGCTACTCAATCCATGACTCGCCAAGCCTCATCTTTACATCCGCCAAACCAGAAGTAAAACCAACCTGCATCTGCCCTCCGTCTTTTGGTGGTGATTTCTGCGAGACCCCGATTGGTCCTTGTGGAGAGAGCTACTGCTACAATGGTGGCACATGTATCCAGGACATCTGTCATTGCACACCACAGTGGAATGGACCAAGCTGTCAACAAGATGTGAACGAGTGTCTTTCTTACCCATGTGTTAATGGAGGGTCTTGTGTCAACCTGGATGGTACCTTCCGCTGTGACTGTCCAGATGGTTTCCATGGAGATTTGTGTGAAAGCACTATGTACTGCACCAGTCGGCCATGTTGGAATGGTGGAAGCTGCACTGACATCCCCGGAGGATACACTTGTGACTGTGTCTATGGCTTTTTCGGCAGCAGATGTGAAAAATCAAGCAAAGGATTCAGTGAAGGCTCCTACATAGAGTTTCCTCCCTTGTCTAACCTCAATAACACAGACATCACGCTCTTCTTTGCCACCAACAAAAGAAATGCCCTCCTGTTCCTCAGTCAAGCAACTGTCACCCCAACTGTTCTAGGGTTTGTTGCCTTGGAGATCATTGATGGAAATGTGAGGTTTTCCTTCAAGTTCACGTCTGTGTTTCCAAAGGTGCTCCAAGTGAACCGCGCCGTCTCTGATGGACGATGGTATCGAGTTCAAGTCCAGAAAGTCACTGAGGTGAGTTTTTGTCCATTTTCTGGTTTTAATTCTGCTATCCCTTCTCCCACAAAAATATAAGTAAAAAAATTAACCTGACCAATAAAATTAGGATTTTAGGTGTAACCATACCCGAAAATGAAGATGATTTGTTCGTGGTCTCCAGTATTCGTTTGTATGGACTGAACTCAGTTATATACCAGTCTGTATGATATCAATGCGTCTTTGCTAACTGGCACAAAACAAACTACACACATTTTTGATTATTAATATTAATTTTACACAGTGAAAAGCCACTAATATTGTTCATGAGTTAAGACTGACTGACTGAGTTTGGTTTTACGCCGCTTTTAGCAATAATCCAGCAACATCACGGCGGGGGACACCAGAAATGAGCTTCACACATAGTACCCATGTGGGGATTCGAACCCGGGTCTTCGGCGTGACGAGGCAACGCTTTAACCATTAGGCTACCCCACCGCCCCCATGAGTTAAGAAGATAACATGCTAATTAAAATCTATTGATCTGTATTTCAACAAAATTGAATTTTTTTTGCATACAAATCTTCAAATCGTTCAATGACAGCTTTAGGTGTGCTTATTCTCAGAGACATTATGAAGTTGTGTCCCAAATGCAAACATTGTTCACAGAGGGGATAAATCCCCCCAAGTTTGCCTAGTACAGGCCTACTCTATCTTGTTCAAGTAGGTATTCAGTTTGATAACATAGTTACTGTGTTAGGCAGTTGTCATAATGCACTCGCCTGCTCTAATATAGAACTGAGATCCAAGCTCTGATTTATACTCACAGATTGACAAAATAGGTTTGAATGTGTGCCACATGACTGCCTTGTGTCTGATCCTGCTAGTTTCCTAGGAACTGATTATAGGTGGAAGTATGGGAGAGACCCTTTAGTGTATAAGGGAGACTTGAGCTGATTAATGCGTACCACATGGGATTTCATGTCATCCAACCATTTTCTTATCTTTGTGGTAACCCCTGTTCTTGTCAGCAGCTTAAACATACCTGTTTTTCTCAAGTGATAGGGAACAGAATAGTAGGAGTTAAATACTGAGAAATGACGTCTGCTACATAATATTGAGTGATTTTCTGTTGTTTGGCTTGTAATTAGTTTGTTTAAAGGGAATATGGATGAGGTAATTGGCATGGTACAATTTGGTTTGAATTATTCTTTTTTTAGCCATGATAGACCAGAATGATTTCCTTGTATTTGCAGTGTTCTATAAGACAACACATGGGTAAAGTTTCAAAATGGAATATAAATAGGCTGATCTTGTTAAAGATTATTACAGAGAATATATATTATACTGTTGTGAAATCATTTTATTGTTAGGTATTTTTATTATGGGTTACATGCCAAGGTTTGGAGACAAAGGCTTGAAGTGTAGAAAGTGGGATCTTTGTTTGAAAACAAATCTTTCTGTAGTCAGCGACGGAGGAATCTCGCCATTAATTAGTCCCTTGTTGGATTCATGATAAATCACCAGTGCCCAGTGTAGTTGGTTTCCATGCTGAACAAAACAGAATTCAGCATTTAGAGGGTTGCAGGTGGCTACCAATTATGTCCCACGGTGAATATATATGCAGAGGATTGATCATCCATATATCAAAACAATATTCATTGTCTGTCAAAAGTTTATCTTTGGGCTGACTGGCTGAGTATGGTTTTACGCCGTTTTTTAGCAATTTTTCAGCAATATCACGGCGGGGGACACCAGAAATGGGCTTCACAAGTTGTACCCATGTGGGGAATCGAACCCGGGCCTTCAGCGTGACGAGCGAACGCTTTAACCACTAGGCTACCCCACCGCCCCTTTATCTTTGGGTGGGAGGGATGGTGGTATTTTTTGGGTTGTAGTATTCTCCAAAGATTTTGTCTGTTGGGAGGATTGATGGTGGTATATTTTGGGTGAGAGGATTCCCCAAAGATTTGTGTGTGGGGTGTCAGTGCTGTGGGGGGGTTTTGGTGGGAGTGGGTTGGTATGGGGCACTGGTGGTGTTAAGTGTATACAGATTGTATACGAGTTATCTAAATATTTCTAAAATGCTGAGATACGTCATATTTGTCAGCAGGTGTAGGTTTGATCTTCATGAACTGCCCCCTGCTAGTAGATAAGCCCGGGATTATTGTCTCGGTGGAGGACTTTCTGTTGTCCTCTGTGTTATGAGGACTGGAGACAGGGTGTAGCCTACAACATGGTGACTCACACTGCCGTCATGCTAGTTCAGGGATCATAATTATATGTCTCCTTCACAGGAATATTTATCCTACATGGTTCATAACTAATAACTATAAGCTCTGTTGCTGTTCTTACACATGCAAAGCCTGGATCATGTTACTTCGAGATATACCTCCTGTTAGGATGACAAGTTAGGTTAAGTCCTGGTTAGTGTGTCTGTCCTAAGAGGTGGCAAAATGGGGATTGTGTGGCTACAATGTCTGCAGTGACAGACGGAATAGAGGAAAAAGACTCTCCAGCTACTGGAGTTTTAGGTTCAGATCTGACTGAGACAGCAGGTACTGATATATGCCATAAAACCTAGACTCAATAATGGGTGGAATCATGAATTATTTGGGATATTTTTTGTAGTGAGGACAGTCTTGTAAAAATATGTTATGTTTCATATCCCCAGAAATATTCCCTAAATGATCCCTAATGTTTTATGATATGAGTAACTCATTAAACTGAGGTCTCAACGGGTACAATATATGTAACAATAACTGTTTTGGGTTTTCTTTTTGGGGAGGATGAGTATTATATTTCAGT